CCAGTGTCATCCGTGTTGTGCACGCTCTCTTCCCCTCTCGTGGGTTTGAATGATTTTTTCGTGGCCGTGTGGCTGGGCTGCCCTTTGTTTTGTGGCTGTGGGGACGGGCTTGTCCACAGTGCACTGCAGAGGCGGAGCAAGGTGGGGGGAGCAGAGTGTCTGCTAAAATGTCACCTCCTGCCTCAGTGGGTGTATGGCAGTGGGAAGGACGGCTGATAGCCACCTGCAGTGCTGGGAAGTGGTTCCTCAGTACCGAGGGGCGTCCCCGCAGGCTCTGCTGCGTGTGCTGGGGCAGCCTGTGTCAGGCAGGAGGTCAGGCTGGGTGCTGGAGCAGCCAACCTGAGTCACTTGCTCCGTAACCTCTGGTCCCCGTAGGCAAACGGTGATGAGGCAATGCTCGGTGCTGCTGGCTGTGAGCCATGGCAGTGCTGTGCCACAGCAGAAGGCCTGTGCTCCGTGCTGCTGTGTGGTGTGGAGAACAAGGCAGGCTGCTTCTTCTCTTAGACCAGGCATGAAATCGATAGTTTGAAGCCAAGATGAATGTCAGTGCAAGTCAGATGTTATGGACCTCAGCAGACCTGAGTTTGATTTAGTATCTTAAATTCAGGCATCGATCTGTTCTGGCCCTTGTTGTAGTTCGTGCCCTGTTCACTCTTTGGATAGAGTGGGTAGACTGAGATCATCCCACTTTACCACTACAAAGAGGGCACAAATATGAAGCTTTTCATCCTCAACATCCAGAACAGGCTTCTGTGTGTTCAGATGTCTTGAAACCCAGCTACAATCTGTTGTTGGATTTGCAGAATGACAGGCTTACTGAGCTTTCTAAAACCCAATACCCAAGCTCTACATTTTATCATGGTTTTTATTACCTATCTTAAAAGTGGGATTTTTAAGTCACATTGAAGTAAAGCTTCAATTACATCCTGTTAATAAGTAATCACTTAATTATGACCTAGTGCAAGATCCCACCCCACCAAAGACTGGTGTTTAGAGGATTATGCCTGCAGGGATGAGGACAGTTTAGTTTCAGAGCTGTATCTCCTTGGAGTGACTGTTCCTGATGGATTGTGAACAAAATTGTATTGTGAAATATATGTCCTTATTGGAGTTGCTGTTAACTTCATAATTGCTCTGTAATTACTAAAGAGAGAGTATCTTGCACTTCTGACAGCCAGGTGCACGTATTGCTTAATCTGTCTCCATTATTGACTTGGCTCAGTTCCTGCGGGTGCTTTCCTATTTTCTTTCAGTTGTGCAATACCAAAACTGACTAAACGGCGCTTCTGCTGTTTTGTTCCTGCTTAGGAGCTAACAACAAGAGCAAATAGAGGTGAAGTTCAGAGAAACTGGAGAGGGTGCCTGCTGCTGGAGGGAGCAGGGCCTGGTCAGCCCTCCTGCCCACATGGGCTGCTGCAGCTTGATACGAGGTGACAAGATGGCTGCTGGAGGAGAGGTGGAGGGTCTGCCTCCTGGACAGCTTCTCATGGGAGTTTGGGCTTTAAACAAAGGTTTATCTCACTGTGATCAAGAGTGGGACAGCAATGAGAGTAACAGTGGGTTCTCAGCAGCTTCAGGAGTGCTTCCTGCCCTGGGAAGTGCTATCCCTGTCCTGTAGTATACTGGCTCCGAGCTTGTGCTAAAACATCGTGGGTTGCCAGGTTTTCCTGAGGCTGGGGGATACTTCAGTGGCCTGGGCTACATGCACTGGCATCCTACTAGAGTCTTATGAAAGGGCTTCTTGGTGTAATCAAGCAGCAGATAAGGCTGGGGAGAGAGAATGAGAACCTAGCTCCTCTCCCATTGGCACTCTTTGAGCACAGAGAGCTGAATGCATGAAGGTTTTTAACTGTTTTCACTTGCATGTAAAGAATACATTTATTCCTCTGGAGAAAAAAAAAAAGAAAAATATTTCTGGACTACATGACCAAGGAACAGCAATCTCACGGGAGTACTGTCACGTTTTGGCTCCCCAGCAGAGCAGAAAGCAGTGGAACAGCTCACTCCAAGTGCAGCATACTTGTCAGGTGTGTACCACCCATGCAAGGCTTATGGAGCCCAGGGGTGCTGTTGTTAGCCCCCAGCTGTGGGGGAACACCTGCCCAGCTCCCTGGTGCCCCTGTGCGCAGGCTGCCATGAGCGTGTTTGCTCTGCTCCTGCACCTGGGGCTGTGTCACTGCCCTTGTGCTCTGCTGTGATGGGGAGGTGGGTCCACCTTGGGATGCAGAGACAAACTTTCAGGATGTTTGTGTCACCTTTCCCTTTGGTAATGTCTCTGAGGTCACACGGTGCCAGCATATTCTCCTGTTCCTTGTCCTAATGGGCTAAATGTGTAGAAATGTCTGCCCTGCCTGTTCTCAGTTGTCTGCTTGTCCATGCAGGGTAGGTAAGGCAGAAAACTTTCTGCCTCCTTGAGCTAGTAGGAGTGCACTTCGTGTTATAATAGGTGAGCTTTTTGGTTGCTGCAGCTCCCCTTTTCCCATTTCCTCTCTCATTACTACCTATTTTCTGCTGATGAACTTTTTAAACATGAGACAAAGCAAAACAGACTTGTTTCGGGCGGCATTGCACAAGAGCAGAAGGGGGAATTTTTTTTATTTCAGTAAACAGTCGAGCCTTCAAGGCCTTGCAGTCGGTGCAGTTCTAGGAAACACTTTAAACCGGAGAAGGATATGAGACTTTGTGACTCATGCTTTTTATAGATTACCAGTTTCACAGCCTTGGAGGCTGATAACCCCAGAGAGCAGGTGCAGCAAGCGTGGTGTGGAGGCCTCACCAGGCAGGCAGGTAGCTGCTGCAGTGCAGACATGGGGACCTGTGGCCTCACGTGTGAGGATGCCCTCATCCTCCCAGCCTCTGCTGCTGCTCTGGGTGTTAGCTGCCATGCTGCCTTTGGGATTTGGACTGGACACATGCCTGTGTTGGGCTGGTGGGTCCAGAGGGTGACTACATGCACCCTGATGTGAAACTGTAGGCTTAGAGGGAGCAGGAAAAAAAAGGCTGTTTGGGGAGGCTGGAGGCTATAAGGAGGGATCTGGGCAGAAGCAGCTGCTTGCCACGGGGTGGGGAAAAAAATCAGTTTCATGTACCCACAGACATACATCCTAACAGGGATGAGAGCATGTGGGGTAGGCACTGGGCTCAGCGTGCTGGGGCTGGAGGGAAGCTCTGCGTGCAGCCCATTTTGTGCACAGTGTTATTGCTGCTGCACCTTTGCTCCCAGTAGATTTATGGCTTCTCATGCAACTTTTGCCAGTAAATGAAAGTGGCTTGATTGGGAAGTAGAAGAGATGCAAATGCACTTTAACTGTCCTGCAACTGTATCTAATAATGGTTCAGCTTGGGATTAATGCTGGAATCTAAGTGCAACTCTGCAGTAGTTCACAGCATAGTCGTTTTTGGAGCTACAAAACCTTCTTTTCCCTTGGTTGTGGCATGCTCCTGCATGTTGTCCCTTCAGATACCATGTGTCCAGGTGCTTTCTACGCAGATGCAGAGCAAATGTTAGGCCTACTGCTCCAGGAAAACAGCCCGGACCTCTGCATCTGCTATCAGCCAGATGGGAATCGGCTCCTTTATGCCTGTTTCTGTTTTAGTCTCCTCCTGAGAGTGTTTTCCCCCAGATGCTTGGTTCTCACTGGTAACTTTCATGTGGGAGCATTGTTTTTAAAGGGCTCTGATAAGTGTGATCCCACAGCTGGGCTGAGTGCTGGCACGAGGCCCCCCTGGGCACGATGCCCAATGCTGTGGGGTGCTGCTGGCCCAGTGCACCTTGTGGTGCTGATTCTGGGGTGCAGCTTGGCCTGATGGTGTGGAGCATGTGCACTGGTATGTAAGGTTTCATCCTGCAGACCTTTGTGGCTGAGTCTCTGCTGTGTAGGGCAGGGGCTTGCACAGAAGCAGGAGGATGGTGCCCATTGGCTGCTGCCTCAGTTACCTTGGGGTAAGTTAGCCAGGTTGTAGATTAACTGTGCCCTAAAGCCCAGCAATTTCAGAGCCATTATAGATATGCCATAATGTGTATCTGTTTGACTTCATTCCTTCTTAACTCTGTTTCTCAAAGGCAAATAGACTAAACACAGGCTGTCCCTGCAGCCCAGGCTAATGCAGGCTGCTGTTACCTGCCTTCACCCCAAACAGGGTGGGATGGGATGTTCCCTGCTGCCCTGCCAGCAGCTTCTCATCCTTCCTGCGTCTTGTGAAGGACGTCTGGGGGTGTCAGTCATGCTGCTGGGCACGTGCTGTGGAGATGGCCAGAAGAAATAAGGGAGAAAAATAACTCAGAAGGATTTTCTTTCAGTATTTTCTTGTCCACAGACCCACTTCTCTTTTAATGAATGCACTATTGGCACAGCCCTCAAACAAATGCAGAAGGCATTGGGAAACGTGTGTTGACTTATAGACAGCTGGAGCGTTAGTGTGGTTCACAGAAACACCCATTGCTGAGAAAGTACTCATAAAAACAAGCAGCCGCTCACAATAGCTTAACACTTCCACTTCTGGCTGGGACAAGGAAGTGCTGACTCCTTAGGAAAACAAGTGTGCAGACGTGCGCAGGTATAGCTGAACTGTAGGAGGGATTTGGCTTCCAAACAGCTCTGATTCATCCGTAGGAATCCATTCACTTGGCTCTTGCAGCTTGGCTGGGGTCAAAGCTCCAAGTGAGAGGAGGAAGGGGGTTTTGGGTGGCATGAGAAGGGGAAACACAAATCCAGACCCAGATTTTGCAGCCATCTTCTGTTCCTACCATGGCAGAAATCAAAACCCAGATCCAAGCATCCCTTCCCTGTGGGACAGGGGAGCACAAAGTTTGCCTCATGGGCATGTCTCTCATGTTCTTCTCTGTCTCTGGAATTGTGCTACTGAGCTTGTGAGCAGAAAATAAAGTCGATAGCATCGACCTCTGCAAAACTCTGTGCATGCTGCAACAGTCTGGTGTGTGTCTACAGGACTTCAGTGCTCTGGAGAAGCAGTTCTGGCACAGGGTGTTGGTGGAGGGCACTGGTGAGCCCTGGGCATGGGGGTTGCATGGCAGCAGGGCCAAGGCAAGAGGGGTTTCACAGAGGCACAGCTCTTTGGGAAAGCCTCCTTCATTCTCCCTGGAGATATACCTAGTAGTGGTTTAGGCAAGGAGGTGTTTCCCTGAGGGTAGCGCTCAGTCTCAAATTACTCAGTTTGACCCTTCTTTCTCCGTTTTCACCTTTGCAACTTAAAAATAATACTAAAAAATCTACCCACTCCCTAAAGTTGAGAGATCTCAGCTGTGGAGTTGACAAGGTGGGTTTTGAAACAGGGAGCATCGTGTGAGCTTGAAGATGGCCGAAAGCGCAGCGCTGCTCGCTGAGGGCAGCCTGTCTGGTGGCACATCCTCATCTGCGTCCAGGCTGCCCGCTGTTGGAAGGAAACATTCCCGCCCAGAGCATACACTGACACCCTCTCCCTTTGCAAGCAGAATTAATCATCCTTATGTGCCATATTCCATTTTAATTTTTATTGCGCAGCCCGAGATTAATGGTTAATGTAGTACATCTCCCCATCTCCACTCCCATTAGAGTGGAGCGCTTTTGAATAACTATTAACTTCGCAGTTAACCGAAAGAAAATTGTTAATCATCGACAAGCTTATGTTGCATAAAAATCACTCTCTGTAACCTTCTGGCTGTGGGAGAGCCCTTTCCTCAGCACTGACCTTCAACGACACCTGGTACCTGCAAAACAAAATCAGATGGCACAGCCTTATCTGCTAGCCAAGGTCAGGAACGGTGTGAACCAGCAGAGCTACGCTTTGTGTTTCCCAGAGCTGGTGGTGTTGAGTTCTCCTAGCCAAGAAGACACTGTTCTCTGGGTCCCCAGGAAGCAGCTACTGAGCGGTGTGTTTATTTTTTTAACTTAGCAGGTTGGGGCTGATCTGCAGAGCACCTGGTGCCACGGGGATGTGCGCTGTGGCAGTGCAGCCGGTCCTTCCCTTGGCAGGAGGGTCTGGGTGTGCGTGCTGGGATGGGGATGAGGTCTCGTCCAGGCATCGGATGCTTGCCAGTGATGCTTCTGCTGCTTTCTCCCTGCCGATGGACCACGCAGCTGAGCAGGGCCGCAGAGGTGCGGTCTCCCCGTGGAGCACTTACACACGGGCTGTTTGCACCCAGCCGTCCAGGAAATAAATCACAGGCTGTTTGTGAAGTAGGAGGGAAGCACTTGGGGCTGTGAAAGATTAGACCGAGAGCCCTGCGCAACTCCCCTTCTGGCTGTAAAGATGGGCTGCGGATGTTATGTTTTTTAGCTCTTTAAATGATTATTTCTGTGCCAGACTTATTAGGAAAGGTATTGTTGGGATCTTGGCAACGATATAAATACAACTGCAGGCTTTGCAGTCATTCCCCTCTGAGTCTGGTCACTGTCAGGCGCGGAGCTAATAGGCCTGGGACTGTGTGCTACAGTAAACAGCCTCTGCAGCTGCTGGTTGCTGAATGTAACTATATATTGCTCCAAATACAAACATTTCCACATTAGGCATTGCGTGTCCTCCCCCGGCACGGAGCTGCAGCCATTGACCTCAGGAGCCTGCGCTGCGTCAGCTTGGCCGGGCTGCTCCTCGGCCAGCAAATCCCTTCGCTTTTTATGACCGTGGCTCTCAAAAGCGAGAGCAACAACCCCAGCTCGGGTCAAGTTTAGCGTGGCCAAGCGTTGCGCAAGCTCCTGCAAGCGGTTCGGCTGCCAGCGGCCACGGGGTGGCCGAGATGGGACCTGCTGGGGACTGGGGTGACGAAGGAGGAAGCAGTGGGTGTCCTTGGGGAACAGGGAGCAAACCCTCCTTCTGGACGGGCTCACACAAGCAGAGCTCTGTGCTAATTCAGGTGGTGGAAACCAGCTGGCCAAGCTGAGCGCAGGCCTGCTGGCTCCTGCTGGTGTGTATTGCTGGGGGAAGGCACACGTAGCTCCAGGAGCTCCTGGGACTTTCCAGACATCCCCAGCTGGCCCCACCAAGCCCTGCAGGGGCTTGGAGCCGCTCTCAGCTCTTGCACAGCCTTTGGGCGAGTTGCTTTCCATGCAAGCATGAAGACCTGCGAGGGTGTCCCCAGCTCCCCTGAGCAGGGTGCTTCATCCCCTCTTCTTCCTCCCCTGCTGGTTGCTTTTTGCGCTGTGCTGCCCAGGCCCTGCTCGTCTGATTAATTACGTGTTGGCCTGCTTACATCAGCCCTCCTGCCTGCTTCTCTGTGGCCAAGTAAACTACTACTTGCTGCCGCAGGAAAGAAAGAAAGAAAGACACCTTTTGCTGCTTGGCCGAATCCAGGCTGGATCAGCTGGCCAGGTGCACAGCCAATTTCCATTGCTGCTTTGAAGCTCAGAAGTATTTTGAAAATAATAGAGCCTTTAGCCCTGTAAGTAAAAGCCATTTATCTTAGGATGAAAAAGTGCTGGCATGGAAAAATTCCAATGCTATGAAATTCTCTTTTCCTGAATGTCTTGGATACTTGCTGGATTAGGTCCGCTGCTGAGGAGCTCAGGGTTATGAATGTCTCTTTTACAGAAAAGAGCTGCGGAGGAAAAAGGCGAGCGCCGGCACGCTTGTAAGTGGGGCAGCGCGAGATTCCCCACGGACTGGCCATTTGTGAGATTGCTTTTAGAGGCACGGGCAGCATCGCTGCAGCGAGCCGAGGTGGTAGTAAATACCCTGTTGTAACCACAGCCGTTACCGAGCCCCCAGGGTATAGTACCAGCAGAATACCTTATATAAACAAAAGTGAAGGACTATTGGCTTGGCTCTGCACGGCTGTTTAATAATGCTCCGCACGGAGAGTGTCGGAGTGTTTTACGGGCGCTAATGAAATTAGCTGCTTTCCATCCAGGAGACACCCGGGCAGGAGAGGACATTCTGCAGCCCCTGGCCGACTTTACAGCCACCTCCTGGCTGGTTTCCACCACCTGGCATGAGGGCAGTGTTGGGTAGAGGTGGGCCTCGTGTCTGCTCGCAGTGGTTGAGCTCCAAGACTTCTCCCGTATGGCTGCTGACTGCAAATAGCAGCTGTCTGGGTGCTGGGGACGCTGGAGTTGGGCCCTCCTGCTTGGGTTGTGCAATGCTGAAGCTGAGCTCTTCAGCCTAAGCATGCTCTGCACCATTTTGGGACTGTGTTTCCCTCCCTGCTCAGCAGAGCCAGCACAATCTCCTCACAGGGAGTTTCACTTTTTCTTGGTAGGCTGCTTCTCCTTCCTGGCTGCCAGGTCTGAACCACAGAGCGTTTTCTATTTGGATCCGACCCTTTCAGGAGCATTTGCCTTGCACCCTACTTTTCTGACCTCTTTGGGTGAAAGGGGAAAATGTAAGGGCTGATTTAGCATGGAAGCCCAATAGAGGGAAAGTTGCCTGCAATGTTCTTGCCCTTCTTACACACAGTAGTTTTGTCACAAACACCAGTGCTGGCCCTGGGGTTGTTATTGGAGCTACCACTGCTGATGTGCTTTAAATAGATCCTAAGCAAACCTCTCTGTTTGTTTTTCTTGACATGGTACTGACTGGTGCTTTCCAAGAAAAAAGAAAAAAAATGCTGAATTCACAGTGGTGACTTTGATTCCATCTGGCAAAAGCAAACTGATCTCTGAAATGAGAAAGGCACGGCCATGAAGAGGAAAAGTAAACGGGTTGCTGTGAAAAGCAGCCTTTTCCTTATGACCCAGTGTCTGCAAGTCACCAAGTCTTGCCGGTGCTTGGTTAGGAGACCCCTTTCTGTCACCAGCACACCGAAGAGCTTTCCAGGTACATGACATCCGCATATGGGGTTTTGCAGCTGATTTCATAAAGCTTGCTGCACTTTACCCGCTCTGCTAGGTAAATATTTTGCTTCCAAATCATCATTTGCCTTGCTGGGTCGTTGGCAGGCTGAGACCTTTGGAGCTTTTTGAGTATTCAGCCGCCCCTGCGATGAAGCCAGCTCCAGCCAGCGCTCAGGAGCATGGAAACGGGAGCTTTTCTGTTGGGGCCCGTGGTTATCTGCTCGATCCCTCACAGAGGCACCCGAGCCATGTGCGTGGGTCAGCTGTCTGGTCTGAGTCACTATCGCTGCTTGGCAGGCCCGGGGCAGCTCGGTAACATCTGCAGCGATGGCAGCACCTCTGGAAAGTCAATGCCTCGGGGGCGGTGTGAGCGCTCAGCAAGCTGTCACGCTCCTGCACTGCGCCTGCTCTGCTCGCTCCCTCCTGCCAGCAGCAGGAGCTGAAAAGCTGCCCTGCCTTTGTGGAGGCTAACACACGGCTTATTGAAAGAGGTCCCAGTGACTCAAAGTGGAGGAAAAAACACCGTGCTCGGGCGTGAGCCTCCCTTATGAAACACTGGGATGAAAGTAGCATTTTTTTTGTCTCTGCAATCTGACTCCTCCAAGTTCTCCTGAAGGTTTGTTGGCTGGTCTCCATCTCCAGCACTGCCTGTGCTCTAGGGGCCTGTGGGACCTCCGTGTGGGCGCCCACGGTTGGTAAAGCTGCCAGAGTGAGAGAGAAATCCCAGAGAGCAGGGCTTCAGCCCCGGTGAGTCACTGGCATTGGCCAGAGGTGAGCTCAGGCTGCGCTGTTTGGATGAACGCTCCTGAGCCTCCGCCTCGGAGATGTGGTCTGGGGATGTGTCCCCAAAGTAGGCTTTTCTACCAGCAGGAAATGGCCTTGGCAGGTCTTTAGCTTCACGCTAACAGCTGTAATCTGTTCAGGTTTTGGTCTGAGGCGGGGGAGTCTGCGTGGGCTTTACCACTGCTGCGTGCAGCCAAGCCAGGAGAGGCAGCAGCACGTGAGGAGGTGGTGAGGGCTCCAGGTGATGCTTTGCTCTTCCTCAAACAGAGGAAGAGCCAGGCTGAATGGTAACTGGTCTGAACTGGCCTCTCCATCCCTTGGTGGTGCAGCTGCTCTGACTAGTCAAGGTGTGAATTCGTGAACTTTGCTCAAGGAAGAGGTGGAAAGCCAGTCCGGGGTACAACACTGCATTTTGGAGGTAATTGGTTTTGTAATGGGAAGAGCCAAGCCCTGCATTGCAACACAGGGTGAAATGTGGATGTATCTGAAGGCTTCATCAGATCTGGATCTGAATTTTGTGACTGGCTCTATCTCAATGACTGGCTGGACTGTGTGCTGCTGAAACCTGAACTGTCTCTGCAAGGCAGCTCCACCTCTGGGGGGAAGCTGCCGACATTACCCTCACACTGAGCATCGGGGGGCTTCTCTGTGCACAGGGTGGTGAAAAACACAGTTTAGTTTTACTTTAGGGCTGTGTTCATGCATCTCGTTGGGAATACAAGAGTTGCCAAGGTGAGCTGAGGCCGAATTTTGTTGTCTGATGGTGAGCTGTGGAAGGAGCTAGGGCCCTGGATGCATGCTGCCCTGCCAGCCTTCCCTTTCCATAGCTCCTGCTGGCTTGAGGTCATGGCACATGAGTTTTAGGGCCGCTTCTGCAAACCATCTGTTGCCATGACATACAGCACTGCCAGCATTAGGCAGTCTCGGTGTATACTTAAAAATCCCATCCCTGTCTGAGCTGACCGCTGGCCTTTTGTACCGCTGCTTAGAATTTGGGCTTTTTCTCATCTCAGCGATAAGCTCGTGGTGCTTCCTGCTCGGGTTTTTTTCCTCCTGCTCAGTGGTGCCCGGAATATGTGTTAGCAGTCTGCTGATGGAAATGATAATTAGGGGGATTTGTCATGAGAAATGTGCGTGAACTTTTAAAGCTGTCATTCAAAAAAAGATTTTTCACAGTCAACTCTCGATTATCTGTGGGTGCATTATCTGAGTCGCAGATTAAATGTGCTATGTATATAAAAAGAAAACAACAAAAAAAAAAACAACTCTTTCAGAGGCATTATGAAGTACACTGCACAATGATTTTTCTTTTTCTTTATAACCTCATACTGTCTTAAACTCTTCTTTTTTTTTTTTTTTTTCCAAAGGGAAAGGTGTTAGAGCACGACATTCCTGTAGCCTCACTTACATGCATTTTGTGTCATTTGTTTTGCTTTTCCTTCTTTGCCCTCAGTACGCCAGATACTGAGAACTGCTGGTATCAGATTATCGCCCGTGTGGAGGAGGGCTTGTGACACGGTAACCTTTCCCCAGCTGTTTTCTTCTGGTGCTGCATGAGAGCTTCTGCAATGTGATGCCGAGCAGCCAGATGGGCTGGGGAGGAAGAGGGAGTGCTCTGCCGGGGAAAATGTCTGTACCTGAGGGAG